ATCAATCAACATCAATCAATCATTTGATTTATGTGATAGGCCTGCATTTAAAATAAACATTTACCATAAATTAAAGATATCTTATAGTATCAAACTTGTTATTATAAAACATACTTTAGTTAAGGAGTTATTGGTACTTCAAGTGTAAAATACTGATATAAAAATACATTTTTAAATACTAATCACTTATCACCCATACTGGCCTAGATTTCTCTTTTCCTTCTTAAACTTAAATACTCCATGGCAAAGTCGTGAAACTCATCTTCAATTGAAACTCCAGGAATTGAGTAAAGCTTAGCCATCATCTCAAAGAAACGTGAAACTCATCTTCAATTGAAACTCCATAAATTGAGTAGAGCTCAGCCATCATCTCAAAGAAATAAAATCACTCTTAGTCGACATACTCTCAAGTAATTGATTGCACATTAACAACAACTGAACACCAATTCCAAACGTTTTCTTCCTTTTACCTCAGACCTTAGAAGGATCTCGTTCTTTTCTATTGACACTGCTCTTTGTGTTGTTGCTGCTTTAACATATTTATCCCTCCAACCATTTGAAACTTGTCAGTTTGGAAATTTGGAATCTCATCCTCCTCTAAATCATCACTTTCTTCTTCAAAACCAACACAATCAATGTTGGCATTGCTTGTGCTAGGATCGACATCATTTCCACCAAGTACTCCTGATGAAAGAGCCCATGCAAACTCTCTAATTGTAATAATGTTAGAATACATTTTGTTATATTTATTCTTCAAAGACAATTCAATACTATTATGTCTGATTTTTTTTGCTCCTCTAATTTTCTATATATAATAAATAAAATTAATTAATAAAGAATCATGTATTGAAATTTTTTTTATAATAAATAAAATTAATTAATAAAGAATCATGTATTGAAAAAAAAAAATTTGAAATTTGACAACAATAAAAAAAGTCGTCAAGATAATGAGGAATTTACCTGGATTTTTTCTTTCCACCACTCATCACTAGTTAAAATTGTTTTTAATTCATTACTCTAGTCAACACCAGTTTCAAAAACCAGCTTATTACAGATCCTCCAATCATTTTTGCATTCATCCCATTTGTTTTTCAATTGTGTTTTAGTGAATGCATGGCCAGTTTGTTCTTGGAATGATGTTATAAGAAATTTCCACCCTGTTTTATCAAAATAAATATTTGATCTCATTCCCATATCAATAGCCTTAATGCATATATCACAAAATATTTGATCTCATTCCCGTATCAATAGCCTTAATGCATATATCACAAACTATATGCAACATTTCCTTTAACCAAACAGTCTTTCATAGATTCAACACCTTCCATGGTATCTTTTAAAACATTTAACAAAATAAAACAATGATATAATTACTTGGGGGCAAATATAACATAGGATTCTACCAATACAGCATAAGAATCAATGCTTTTTTTATCGTGCTTCTTGTTGGTGATTCCTCTCTTTAGTTGAAATTGCTCAAGTCAAAATTATAGCTGAAATACCTGTCGGTTTAAGCTTTATGTTTTGGAAGAAGTTTGAAATTTTTTAGTTTCAATAAATTAACAAATGAAACTTCTATTTTATCTTATTATGGTTATCTTAAACAAGTGAGATTGGATTCATTTATCAACAACATAAACTGAAGCACATCAACAAATATTCTTTAATTTTCAATTGAAGGAAGCAAAATTAGTTAGGCTTTGGAGGAAAAAAAACCCAGGCTTACAAGGCAGCGGTAAACTATAATTGATCACCATAATAGGGAAATGGTTGTGAAAAGTAAATCTAAAGTTCAGCATTACCTGAGCATTTTTGCCAAAAATAGATGATGACAAAAACTAATCGCTCAATAAAGTAAAAGAATCAAGCAAAGCACATTATCATAATTACTTTTCCCCTCGGCTAATCAGACCACTGATGGGACTATAACAATTTATAAACAAACACTTGTAAAGAACTGATGAAGCAGCAGCAGTGTAAAACCTCATTCAACCAACTAAAAAACCGATTTCATCGCACAATGCACACATAATTAATCACAGCAAACAGAATTCATTAAGCAGAAAACAAAATAAATTAAGAGCTAATTATAATAAATCTCAATATGGAGATAAGTCAGATTAAATTTACGGTTCTCTCTCTTGTGTGTGTTTCCCCAGCTGGTGCTTTTCTGCTGCTTTTTTCTGCAAACCAGAAAAAAGGGATTAATGAAGCAGCACACAAATTAAATTAAACAGATTTTTCCGAAGATTAGTTGTTTATACAAAGACAGGCTGATTCAAGCGCATACGCTACTTCTATAAGACTCCGCAAAGACAATATTACCTCAATAGATCAACCAATCACAATACTATAGCATCGCTCACTCTCAAACACGAGCTACAATGCGGAACTACATGCTGAAGTGGGGATCCTTTCAATTATTAAATTAAGGCAATTTATGCTAGCCATCCTTTACCTCATAATCCTAATATTATTGGGTGAAATATGAAATAGCTAGCTGATTCTCTAGGAGTTAATTTCATTAAATTTGAAGACAAAGAAAAGGCAAGAACTTACGGTTCTCTCTCTCCTATGAAGTTTCCCCTGTTGGTTAATGTCTGCTGATTTTTTCTGCAAACCAGAACAATGGAGACCTCTTGGCATAGGTTATGAGCGTGAAGGTGATAGATCTTCTTTGAAAGAAAAAGGGAACAAAGGGGAACAGGGCAAATGATCTACTATGGTTTTGGGAAAATTTTTTCCAGATATGAACAATGAAGCCTCTTGGGTTGTTTCGGGAAATATTTTTACAATAGTTTTGAAGTCTTTTGGCAGGAGACGAGAGAAGGGGACAGAGGGGAACGAGTGCTCAGATTTTGGGAAATAAGGGCTCGATTTTTCTAGATCTAAAAATGAAGCCTTTGGATAATTTTTGCTGTGGTTGTCTTTTGACAACAGACAAGAGAAGGGAACAAAGGGGAACTCTTGAAAATTTTGGAAAATAGGCAGGATTTTTCAAGATTTAAAAATGGAGACTCTCTGATTGTTTTGGATAATTTTTGTTGTGGTTGTCTTTTGGCAACAAACGAGAGAAGAGAACAGAGGGGAAGAAGGACGAAAATTTAGGAAATGGGTGGATTTTTCCAGATCAATCTCAGTGGAGACGAGAGCCGATCGATGGAGACGACTGTGAGGTTTTTCTGGGAAATTATTTGCAATAGTAATCTATTGTCGGTGAGAGAGAAAACGAGAAAAAAA